GGTTGGTCAACTAGTGGGTGTTAACAAATTATCGTCCAAAGGTTAATTGAAAATACTGTTAGTATTAATGTAATTGTAGTGTAAGACTGTTAAACAAGCTGCTTAAGTTGTTTTGCAATCAAACCAAAGTGAGTTTGCAATCAGCCAATAAATGTAAACGACTGAAATAAATAAATCACAAGGACTTTATAGAATCTCAAGAGTACTTTAAAAGGCTATATTTATTTAATTACCATTAAATGTGAGACCAAAGTAAATTTGTAAACTAATTAATTGACAACGAATTACTGAGTTGCTTGCAATTAACTGACAAGAGTAGCCCAAAAATTAGGCCATAATTGTTAATTGGCCAAGATGATACAATGTCACCATTTAACAAGAAACAAAAAATTGTAAAAAGTTATTATTTCAAAATATTATTATAATTTAACAAAGAAATCAAAATAAAGATAAAATAAAAAGATAATTTATAGTGAAGATTAAATTAGTCATTCATCAATTCTTTCTTTACTATAATTACTAGAATCTAATGTTAATAATTATTTAATTAATTAATTAATATCATTAGTAATAATTAATGGATAGTAATTTTCCAATTGATTAATAATGAAATTTTTATTCACCTTTGTTGACATTTTGGAGAAAAAAGTTAAAATCAAGATTATTTAACGAGCTATCATTACTTGTTAAGCCTTTTAAGCTTTTAGATTTAGCAATCTCTTCATCTAATATTCTACTTTTATGATATGCATCTGGGTGTGAATTGTGTGCTTGTTGCGAAGCACTACTACCACTGCCACTACTAGTATTATCAATAATTTTATTATTTTTATTTACAGAAAAATCAAACAACTCTCCAGTAGTTGATCTTTTTGATGGATCCACATCTCAACACCTCTGCATCATTTGCACATAATCACCAGGCATTTCAGGTAATAATGGTGGTCGTAAACCTTCACATATATCAAAAATCAAACGATGATTGTGAGCTCTATCATCAAATGGTGGATGACCTGCAAATATTTCCCACATTAGCATCCCAACACTATAGATATCTGTTCCTTTTGTGTTCTTTGTATCATTTTTGCCTCTAAGTAGCTCAGGTGCAACATATGATACAATCCCATAGACTTTATTTGATGATTCATCATCAACTGGTCCACATAATCCTAAATCTGTAATATAACAACCACCTCCTGCCACAAGTATATTACCACTATGTAAATCACAATGGATTAAATTTTTTTCATGCATATAATATAATGCAATACATAAATAAAAAAAGATTGTAATTCTGCCTTTTAATGTTAAATTTAAATGATTTTTTTGTAAATAACCCCTTAAACTTCCTTCTGAAGCATAATCTAAAACAATTGCATAATTCCCATTATCTGGGAATTTAGTTATACCAAAGCAAGGAACAATCATATGTGATTTAATTTCAAAATAATTCATTGCCTATTGAACATAAAATAAATTAGTATTTATTATATAACACAGTATTGTTTTAAATGACAACTACCAACCTCATCAAAAAAGCCTTTTCCTGGATTACTTGAATCATTTAAATTTTTTAATACTACTACTTGCCTCCCTTGCTCTCCTAAATAACTAAACTCCTTTTTATTTTCATTGTAATCAACTATTTGTCCTCTTGTCCATTCCGCAGTATAAATTTAACTAAATCCGCCTTCTGTCAACTTTGTTACTTTTTCAAATTGCTCAAAAGGTATCCATTCTAAAATATAGTCTGGCAGAGATGATTTCATTTGACATTGTTGAATAAAATCATCAATTATGTTATTTCCAGATGTCAAATTAGTGCTCTGTAATTGTAATCTAATGCATCCTTCACAGAATCTATCAGAGTATCTTGTCAATTTACACTTGTTACATTCTTTTGGTTTTCCTACTTTATCTCTTGCATTCTGTAGTTCAAAATTATAAATAAACTCCTCCTTACAATATTTTTTTTCATTTTCAGAAAGCTCCTTGTTTTTTTTGACCAATGGAAAAAAATAATCTTTTCTACTTTCTCTGTCAGAATTAGCAGTTGCATTATTATACATTTCACCATAAATTTTAAATACAAATTCCTTTCTTTTTGATGATAACGATGATAATAGTTTAACATGTGACATTATATAATATAAAATATAAGATTCGACTTGTTGTTTTAATGAATAGAGTGGAGATTTTTTTGTGTTACTTTCTAAATGTCGTAGATTTTTATATTTCGTGTAACTTTTACCAAATTTGAAATATTTTGTTGCATGGGAAATATCCTGTTGTAAAGAAGACTTGAAACCGTAAATGCAGCGCAGTTATAGATGGGATCTAAACTTTTTTCGTTATGGACTTGAAATGATTTGCAAATTGGTCATTATTATTTTTATACTAATACGAATTCCCATTGCTATCTATTTGGCAACCGAAAAATTTATCTATTCAATGTTCGATAAACAAACAAATTTATTTGAATGATCTGGATAAGAAAAAATTTATTTTTAATTGCTAATAAATTAATCCTTGCAAAGGATTTTTTTAATTAAGAAAAAAAAGCTTAGTTGATTTTTTTTCGTAAATAACTTTTGATGTTTGCATGAAGCTTATTCTTCTATAGCGATATACTTGAAAAAAAAACCCAATAGATTCAATTGACCTTTAATCTGGGATAAATAAATAAACATGAGGAAAAAAAGATCTTTTTTTTTTTTTTAATTTAGAAAAAAAAAGGCTTGATTGATTTTTCTAACAATCTAAATTCGTAAATAACTTTTGATTAACATGAGGGCTCTTCTTTGCAAAGGATCTTTATTAAAATTATTAATTCGTAATCTATTTTCCTTTGTATGTGAACAGACAAACAAACAAATTTTTGCTCAACGCAACGAATAAAATAAAAATCTTGATATAATAATAATATGACAGTCTAATGTTGATACTCCGAACGAATATAATAGATGGATATCTTGCATTTGAATGTAACGTGCAAAGTCAAATCATACATAGAACACCGTTTTGGCACTACATGCCTCGACTCCCGAATTCGAATGTAATGTAAAAAACAGAATCAATGCACCGTTTTTTTTTTGGTCAACGAGTGGGTTGGGTAGCGGGTCTATTTATATGTTTTTGTTGTAATTTATTAGACTACTTGATCAATGCACCACCTGGCATGAAATAGTCTATTTTTATTAAAGATTGCATCATTGGTCATGAATACATGATAGGATGCTGAGATTCTTCGCATGCAATACTAACTTTGATGTTCCGAACGAATATATATGTATGTATGTATGTGATTAAGCCATATGTTTTGTAATAGTAATACACGAAACTCATTGTTACGTTTTTGTTTAAAAACTTGTTTTCTTTGCGGAGAATTGAATGATGTGTAACATTTTTAATAGTTTATTTGATTTGCCTTTAAGTTTTTCTCTGACAGGATTAATTGTAAGGATATAAATTGAAAAGCGAAAATTACATGATTTAAAGAACAACTTCATCACCAAACTCTATTAATCGATTTATCAATAAAAGTATTTCGGCATTCTTTGACGATTTAAAACTTACAAAAATATGTACCAAACCCTGTCTTATGTGCTATGTAAAGGTACTAGTATTGATCAACTATGTTGTTTCAAACGCGGACACTAAAGACAGCTGAAGCGCATTATTAATATTACCGTGTATTATTGTTAACTTCAAAAGTCAAAAATTCTATTTAACGCAACTTATATGTATGTAAAGACGATTTGATTATATGAATGCAATAATAAAAGAATAGTTTTAATTTGTAAGAAAGAAGAGGTGTTTTATTTTGAAAGAAAATGTACAGATAAAAAACAAGTGGTTTAATTTCTAATTCAAATTATAACTTTCCATGATAATTATTCTTCTTGCATTATTGCAAATATACATACAATGATAGAATAATCCAATTTTATCATTATCATTATTGCTGCTGTATCAAGTGTTTTTACTTGTATCAAGCATTTTTAATTACGTCAAGTGGCTTTAATTACGTCAAGTGGCTTTAATTACGTCAAGTGGCTTTACTTACGTCAAGTGGCTTTACTTACGTCAAGGCTGGTGAGAAACTACCTTTAGTCAATGACTTAGTTACGTCAATGACTAAAGTCAAAGTTCGTAATACATCGTTGACGTAATGTGTTCAAAAAAAAAAAACAAAAAGTGAAGCGTGGAACCATTTTACAATTTGTAGATGGAAAAGACAAATACAATTGTTGCACCAAGTAAATGTTTTTTTTGACTTCGAGACCATTTTTAGTTCAATATAAAATTAGGTGGTTCGTTCGGTGCCTTAGATACAGACTTTGGTAGAGCATTTAAAATTTAACAGAGAATTGGTGCTCTAAATAACAGGTTTTGGACAATCTATCTCTCTCATGGTCAATGACACTAAAAGTTAGCAAAACAACATCAAAGTTTCCCCAATAGTGTGATCCTAATGTGCAAGCAGCAAGAGAGCAAAACGAATCACATCAGCGTTGTCAATCGATTTTCATGTTCCATTCATAGATTGTTCTAGACAGTGAATCTCGCTCGGTTTAGCGGACATTTTATTTATCTGATAATATTAATATTAAACCGAGATACTTGTAAAAGTCAAATTTCTGATTTTATAACAAAATCACGTGATATCCTCAGAATATTTAAATAATCTGTCAGGTCCCTAAAGAAATTATCGATTATTGACAATAACTAGTATTAAAGCGTTTATTAAACTGTTTTCTCAATGACTACTATATGAAAGCTTAGAGTATTTCACATCTTCTCAAGTCTTTAAAGCGATATTCTTAGCTTTAAAGCGAAAAGGTAATTCCATTTTTGAATTATTTTAATAATAGAATTCGAGTAATCATGACACCGTTTTGTAACACGAATGTATCGTGTAACTTCTTTTAAAAAAAAAAAATTCATCTTTTTTTTTTTTTTACAAAAAAAAAATATATTTTCTTATAAATATATTAACAATGGGTGGTATGTATAATTTTTTAAAAATTATCAAAAATAATTTTTTTGATGTTATTTAATAATTAATTTTAATTTTATATATATATATATAAATAAAGCATACAAGTATCTTGAAGAACTTTATAAAAAGAAACAGTCTGATGTTCTTCGCTTCTTACTACGTGTAAGATGTTGGGAATACAGGTAGCTAGCTAGCTTACACAATTTTTAGGCATGAAATAAAAGCTTTATGTTCCAAAGAAATATATTTTTCAAATAAAAAGAAAATATATATGCGGGATTGGAACATAAATATTTCATTTGCCAATGATTGATTTTATTAATATAATATATATTAATTAAATTATCCCGCAATTTTTTGGTATGTTTCTACAAAAAAAAAAACTTTTTTTTTTGAAATAAAAAAAAAAAAAAAACAAATTTTAATACATTTAATTAGACAATTAAATGTTGTACACCGAGCTTCTCGTCCGTCTAGACCTGATAAAGCTCGTAGATTAGGTTATAAGGTACACACGCTTATATATATATATATTGCATATTCACATTTTACATATAAGCTAATATAATATATATTCTTTTTGTATTTAAAAGGCAAAGCAAGGATATGTTATTTATCGCATTCGTGTTAGACGTGGTGGTCGTAAAAGACCCGTACCAAAGGGTGCTACATTTGGTAAACCGGTAAATCAAGGTATAAATCAACTCAAGTATCAACGTTCTCTCAAAGCAACTGCCGAAGAACGTGTTGGTCGTAGATGTAGTAATTTGCGTGTTTTAAATTCTTATTGGGTTAATCAGGTATGAAAAAGAAAATATTCACAAGCCATTAAATAATAATAATATTATTATTGAAGTTAATTAGTTGATCGATTAATTAATTAATTAATTACTTAAGGATTCAACTTACAAATACTATGAAGTAATTCTCGTCGATCCCAATCATAAAGTGATTCGTCGTGACCCAAGAATTAATTGGATTGTGACTGCGAAACATAAGCATCGTGAATCCAGAGGTCTTACTAGTATTGGTAAGAAGAATCGTGGAATTGGTAAAGGTCATAGATTTAATAAGACAATTGGTGGTGGCCGTCACTCAAGTTGGTTACGTCGCAATACATTATCATTGCGTCGTTACCGTTAAAAAAATATTATTATTATTTCACAATTAAAGAAAATAAATGAAAACTTAAACGTTAAAAAGATTACTACTAGCACTATAGAATTGGAAAGGAAAATAATACTGTTATTTCCACATTCAAATTTTCATTATCTTGGCAAAATAAAAAAATATTATAAATATTTATTTATCATTAGGTGCTCCAAAACTTCACTTGATTTTTTTTTTCTTTTTGTGTTGGTCAACGATAAAAATAATTTCATTATTATTATTATTATTTGTATTGGTGAATTAATAAAAAAACATTATACAACATAGAAAAGCTTGATGTACTCAAATCAGCCTGCATGGTTAAGTTCACTTTTGAAAATCGTGTTCTTGGAAATTATAGATCTTTATTATATTAATTAAATATGTGTGTAAATAAATATACAGGTAAAGAGTTCTAATAAATAAATAAATAAATAAATTTTCTTGTGCCAAACAAAATGTAAAAACCAGATGATGTTGATTATAATCAAACTGTTCTATATATTATTATATTCATTTATATGAAACAATTTTTGATTACAAGGTGATTTCGGATCATTAAAATGTTTATAAGGTTCACCAGGGTTTAGAGCATTTCCACATAAATAACAAAAATGTGCACAACAACGTGAACAAACCATATGATTACAACCCATTGATTTTTCAATTACGGCTTTACAACTTGGACAATTTTGTGCATTCATGCTAACCCATTTTGATACTTCCAACTCCATTTTAGCATCCCTGGCCAGTTTCTCTAGATTCTTCTTTCCATAACGTAATTCCAAAGTATATTTCAATTCCCCTTCTGCTTCCATATAATCACTTACTATTTTACTAATATTATACATATTGCATGGTGCACTTGAACCATGCCTTTTTTAAAATAAAAATTTATATTGATTGATTATCGGTAAAAATAGTAATTAATTAATTAAAAATTTTTTTTGAAGGAAAAGAAAAAAAAAACAAACTTACCAAGTTTTTTCACACCAACAACAAAATGCAAAAGAACATTTTGGACAAACACATAATTTATCATAGTTGGAGTTCTTTCTAACAGGAGCTTGACATGATTTTCGAGGACAATAGGTGACCAATGGATCTGTCTCAAGTTTTTGCTTTTCTACTAAATATGAATATCTATCAGAAGTTTCTTTATCAACTATCTCAGAAATTTCTTCTGTTGCTAATATATGTTTTAATTGACAACCTGGTTCAGGACACTTGACTTGTGTGATGAACCCTTCTCTGATCAACATTTCAAAATATTTACAAATACAATTTTGACAAAACACATGTTGACAAGATTTGAGTTGAATACATTGTTCACCACGTTTTTCTTCAAGACAAATTGCACAATTGAAATGATTATTTGAAAAATCTTGATATAAGGCTTGTTGATTATATGTATTTATAATTGATCTAAGTGTTGTAAAATCATTGTGTTCTGGAAATATATAATATATGTGTGTGTTAGTATAAAAGTTTAAATTAAATTTTTCAAAAAATACTTTTTTTCAATATTATATAGCTTTTAACTTACCATCAGAAAGAATCAATGGTGATGATATATTCAGAAAATCTAAAGTATTATTTTGAATAAATTCTGCAAAGTGAAATAAAACCTTATAGATAAATAAATAATAAAGCAAAAGCAATAAATCAATAAAGTAAATTATTTAAAATAGCTTTATATTTAAATGGTGCTATTATTCTTATCGTCACCATTATTGTCACTAGAAGCAATCAACACATACCACATTTTTTTCTTCTTGCCAAATTTTTTCTAGTCGATTTTCCAATTGCTTTATTGAATCATTTTTCAACCAACAACATTCGAGATTAAATTTTAATATTTCATCAAATGGATAATTTTCTGTCATCAAAAAAGTTATTTTTATAGGAGGCAAGTGCTTGATTTTCAGAAGATGAGGATGATAATTTTCTGTGTTATTATCATTGTTATTGATAATTTTACTGTCATCATCATCATCATCATCATCATCATCATCATCATCACCATTACTATTATTAATGAAATATACAGTGATTTCGTCCGACATTGACACTTGAATGGTTAACGATCCTTTATAGTGTGGATCATTTTTTTCATATATGAAATTTTGTGGATATATTGCCTAATTTTTTAAAAATTGAAAATTAAACAAATTAAAATAAATGTTAGAATGCTATTGAATGTTAATCTTGTTGCTTGTTTATTTGTACTGACTTCGAGAGCAAGGATTTCATTTTCTTGTTGAATCAAATTATTATTAATGTTTGTTGACATTTTCATTTAAAAAAAAAAAAAGAAAAAAGAAAAATATAAAAATATAAAAATTTGTCGATTACAATGACAGTATTTATTCGCTCAATTCAGCAATTGGCAAAATTTAAAAAGTTTTTGTTGATTAACCAATCAAATTCAAACCCACTATGTTGTTTTATCATATGCTAAAATTTCCATTTTTGCATTTCATCTGAAAATTTTGGAATGTTTCATACTCGGGCATACAATAAACCAGTAACATGCAATAATGGTTGTTAAAATAATGTCACTCACGTGTGCTATTTATTATTGCATGCTCCTCCGCAAAATTAGGAAATAATTTATAAATTTGGCCATTTAATTTTTTTATCAATATTGAATATTCGAATAAAGCTTTACAATTGACTCCTAAACATTGAAATTCTCAATTTAAAGATACAAAAGAAAGTATGCAAACTGCTCTTGAAAGGTTGACTGAGAGTAAATAAAAATTTTTTATGGAAAATCGAAATTTTTATGAAATTTAAAATTTTGTAATTAAACTTATTCGTAATATCACACACTATTACTATTTCATTCTCATACTACTACTGTCTCTGCTTTTTAATACGTCGCTTCTGTTTGAGGCAATATACGTTAAAGGTTGAAAAAAACTTTGTAAATGTTTTGTTTGATGAATTATAGGAAATGATAATAAAATTTGGATATATTCACCCACTATATTATATCAAGTAAATAAAACATTGTACTCGAATATACATATATGTTAAATGAAAGACAAGTCTTATTAGATCAATATTTAAAATGAATAAGATGTCATCAAGAAAAAGCCATGCTTACATCTATCTGTAGTTTTGTAGTAGAAAATTATTATTCAAAAAGCCATTGTCTCTAATAAAGTTTGTGAGTATTCAAATCAATTGGATAACAATAAAATTCAATGAATTAAAATCCGATTATCTTTTGTATCAACAATCTCATTGTAAATATATCTGCAAAGTAATTTTACGTTAAAGAACCTCACATACATTTAGAAAATATTTCCTTTTCAATAAGATAATACTATCCAATTTTTTGATAAAGCAGCTTTGAAATATGAAGACCTTGCTTTTGAACGAGAATGTTAAAACTTTTACAGCCTATTCTACCATATACTCTAACCCTAATTTCCTTTCATTTCTGATTCATTCAATAACTTTTTTAAATCATTTACAAGTTTACTATGTATTTTAATGGAAGGACATTGTTATTGGAATTGAAAAACAAGTTGACATTTGTATAGCATAACGGAATTTCTCTGTGATTGGTTAATAATGATCGACAAATTTAATTGAGTTTATTGGCCAGAATTTATTTATTTAACTTAATATAGTTGGCTCGGTCTAAAGACCTCCTAAGTTTTGCATAAATTTTAAAAGTATAGAAGTCACTTTCTGTCCTATCTTTTAAAAAAATAACGTTATTAGTTGATAGAATAGGTCTTTAGTTTTAATGTAATAATGAGATATTCTCAAAAAAATCATTTGTTGTAGAGTTCTATTCTTTTTTAGAACATGTACTTTACTATGTTCATGAGAAATTTGCCGCTAGGATCATTACTAAATTTAGACCAAACTACAAAAATCATTTCTAAATTTAGACTAATACATGACCATCATATCTAAATTTGGCAGTACGAAATAAATTTTTAAACCCAAAATCACGTGAAGTCCTATTTTCGAAAATTTTTATTGCATTTTTGAACAAATTACAAAATTGCTATTTTTGAAATTTGGCCACGTGGCGCAGAAATAGGAGGTCTTTAGACCAAGCCAACCATATATATAAAATTCAATTCTAATCATTAACTTATATGCAATATTATTAGGTGTTATCTTTGATAATACTATTTTAAATTTCTAAAATATATCCAAAAAAAAGTAACTATTAAGTTCAATTCTTAAATTTTTTCATAAAAATTGAATTTGTAAATACATAATGATAATATTTTATTTTAACTTATCTGCAATATTATTAGGTTTCTTGTTCCTTTTATACTGTTAAGTTCATTGACTCTTTTATTTCATATTTTAAATTTTGTACACGTTATTACAACATTTTAAACCTCCTATTATTGTAAACTTTACTTATAATACTCCCATGGGAAAACCTTTGATCAGGTTTGATCAGGGTATGAGATATGATAAAGAAGCTTGAAAATTACGTGCCTATAAAAAAAATTTTTATACAAATCTGTGACTTGTCATATGACGGACCTATTTTTAATTAGGACGACTATTATAAAATAATATAAATAACCGTGTAACAATTTTTGGAAAATGATCGACATTTAGAAATTCCGTTATGCTCATTTGTATTAGAAACATATATATTAATATATAGTAATAGTTCTATGTACTCAAATTATCAGTATATTAGACACCTAATCCGGTCATTTTCCAAAAGGTAAATCCTGTTTATCCATGGAATAACAATGGATAAAGCTTCCGTTTTTCGGGTGTATGGGCATGGATATCTCTGATATCGATCTCTGGGATTTTGTTCGGATAATTCACTCTATGATCGACAAACTCGTGGGTTGGATAAATGGATAAAGGTTTTGCCTGTCCAAATTATCTGATATTAGAAATGAAATGTGATGCTTTTTCTGTTAAGGGAGTGACATAGAACTAAACTTTAAAATGACATTAGACATTAGGGTGTGCGACATTCTAAGAAAATCAAAACTAATTAATGTCATATATTGATTGGTTATATGTGATTTTTTTTTGTGATCTGCATATCATATATAGAATTTCCGAAATTTACATAAAGAACATAGTAAACATATTGTTTTCAAAACACTACTCCTCCTCCGTTTTCAATGATATAGACACCAAATTAGTGTACAAGATATTATATGTAATATAGATTAGAGCTATGGAAAGATTTAATGGATTAAAAATACCAGCGGCGTAAAAAAACTCATTCGAAATACAGAAAATTTCTTTCTTTATCGTTATACTTCTATCTATTGCAACTTCCGAAAAAATTATATGAAATAAAGATTCTGTCTCTATAGCACTATTCTACAAATGTATTCTGATCAAAAACCTCTAATAATTTTATAAATGTAACGATTTTCCAGAAGCCTTAGTGATTGAAAGTTCATAATACTAATAAAACGCTAATAAAACATGCTGTTTTCAAACCACTACTTCTCCTCCGTTTTCAAAGATATAGACACCAAATTAGTGTAAAAAATAGTATATGTAATATAGATTAGAGCCATGGAAAGATTTAATGGATTAAAAATACCAGTGGCGTAAAAAAACTCATTCGAAATACAGAAAATTTCTTTCTTTATCATTATACTTCTATCTATTGCAACTT